AGCCCTTTGCTCATACCTTGCCCTATGCATCACTTCCCTCTGGCTGTTCCTGAGTTATATCGTTTGATAACAAACCAGTAATCTAACAAGTAAAATGTTTCTCTGAGTTCTGTGAGCCGCTCTAGCAAATTAATCAAACCCAAGGAGGGGGTTCTGGGAATCTCTAATTTATAGCCAGTAGGTCAGAAGTACAGGTAACAACCTGGGCTTGCAACTAGTGTCTGAAGTCCAAGAAGGTCTTTGGAGCCTCCAATCTGTAGCCAGCTCATTAGAAGCACAAGTAACAACCTGGGCTTGCGACTGGCGCCTGAGCTGGTGGGGGCGGGGGCAGTCTTGGAGGACTGAACCCTCAACCTGTGGAATCTGATACTATCTCTGGGTAGATAGTGACAGAATTGAGTTGAATTGTAGGACACGCGGCTGGTGTCTCCAGAATTGCTGGTTGGAGTGGGGACCCCCACGTACCAACCTATCGGTACCAGGACCTATTTAAAGGTATAAGCAAACTGCGGCATATACAGTCAATGGAATACTCCTCAGTAATAAAAAAGAATGAATTATTGATGAATACTACAACATGGATGAATCTCAAAATAATTATGTTGAGTGAAAGAAGCCAGACCCCAAAAAAGAAGAAAAGAGTACCTGCTATATGATTTCATTTATATAAAATTCTAGAAAGTGCAAACTAATCTTGACAGAAAGCAGATCCACGGTTGCCTGGTGACAGGAGGTAGAGGGCAGGGAGGGGAAGAAAGGAAGGACTAAAAAGGGACATGAGGAAACATTTTGGGGTGATGGATATGTTCATTATCTTGATTGATGGTGGTCATGGTTTCATATGTTTTTACATATATCAAAACATATCAAGCTGCACACTTTAAATATTTGCAGTTTATTGTATGTCAATTATACTTAACTAAAGCTGCTTTTTAGAAAATTATAAGACAAATAGGCTATCTGCATAGACTCAAAATATCTCCCCACAAGATACTTAATGATTACAAAGGGAAAAAGTAGTAACTTTATAGTAGAGAAACATAGCAGACACTACCTTAACTAAGTGATCAAAGTCATCATCACCAGAATTAAGACATCTTGCCATGATGTACCTCCTGATATGATGCATTGAGAAGGTGACAACATCATTTTTGTGTTATTCTTAGCAAAAATGTTTAATATGAATTTAATTATGAAAAAAATCTAAACCAGATTGAAGGACATTCTTAAAGAAATAGCTGGCCAATACTCTTCAAAAGAGTCGAGGTCATGAAAGACAAAGACAGATTGAGCAACTGTTATAGATCAGAGGAAACTAAGGAGAAAGTCAGTGAGGGATCATGGAGTGGATCCTGTACCAGAAAAAAAGGACATTAGCAGGATAATAGAAAAAATGCAAATAAGATGTGTATATTATTTAGTATTGTTATATCAATGTTAATTTACCAGTTTCAGTAATTGTATGAGATGCTAATATTAGGAGAAGCTAAATGGAGGATATATGGGAAATCTCTCTCTACTGTTTTTACAACTTTTTTGTAAGTCCAAAATTAGTTCAAAATAGTTTAAAAACTGAAAGCAAAATGAAGGCATTTCCAAAAAACCAAAAGCTGAGAGAATTTGTCACAAGCAGACCTGCACTACAAGAGACATGTTAAAGAAAATTCCCCAAGCTGAAGGAAAATAATGCCAGATGGAACCCCAGAGCTACACGAAGGAATAAAGAATGCTGAAAATGTAAATATATGGGTGAGTATAGAAGACAAATATATTCATTTTTCAGTTTCTTTATAAGAAAATTGACTTTTCAAAGCAAAAATAATAACAATGTATTGTGGGGTTCGTAACATATAAGTAAAGTATGTGACAATGGCACAGAGAATGAGAATGGGAATAGAAGCTGACTGCAGCAAGGTGCTTAGAGTGAACTTGAAGTATGTAACACTTAAAGTAAATGTGATAAGTTAAAGATGCATTGTAAATCCTAGCGCCTAGGGATAGAAGAAAAACTAAAAACACTTTTTAAAGAGGTATAGCTAATAGGCCTAATGAGGAGATAAAATAAAATACTAAAAATATCCAATTAATCCAAACATATAGGATAAATAGAAAAGAAATAAAAAGATGGTATATTTGAATCTAACAATATTGATGACTGCATTAAGAATAAATGGGCTAAACACACCAATTAAGAGGCAGGGATTGTCAAACTGGATAAAAGATCATAACCCATTTACATGCTGTCACCAAGAAGCACTCTTTAAAAGTACAGATAGGTTAAAAAGTAAAAGAATAATCAAAAGATATACCACACAAATAGTGAGTCAAAGAAAGCTGGAGGTGCTATATTAATATCAGAGTAGACTTCAGGACAAGGACAGTTACCTTACAAAGGAGTCAAATTATCAAGCTAATAACAGAGCTTCAAAATACAAGACGCAAAAACTGACATAACTAGAAGGAGAAATAGACAATCCACAATGTGAACTGGAAATTTCAACATACTCTCTCAATAACTGACAGAACAAGTAGGCAGTAAATTAGTAAGGAATATGTGAACAGTGCCAAGTAACAACTTGACCTAATTGATATTTACAGGATGCTACACCAACAACTCCTAAATACATATTATTTTCAAGTGCACGTGAAACATTCACCAAGATAGACAATATATGGACCATAAGACAACTTTCAACAAATTTAAAGGGATTGATATAAGATGTCTTAGACATCACACAAACTACAAAAGAAAATCTTGATAAATTTCACTTCATCGAAATGAAAAACTTCTGCTCTTTAAAAGACAGAGTTAAAAAATGCAAATTTAAGGTTAAGACTTTGAAAAGTCAAGTGGGAGAAAATAGTCACAATACATATACAAATACATCACAATACACATGAAAAGACTTGTATTCAAAATATATAAAGACCCTATGACTTAAAAATAAAATATTCATAAAAAATGAGCAAAAATTTTGAATATACACTTAACCAAAGAGAATATTCAAATGGCCAAAAGGCATATGAAAAGATGCTTAACATCTAGTCATCAGGGAGGTGTAAATTAAAACCATAAAAAGATACAACTACACATCTACTAGAATGTCTAAAATTCAAAAGACTAACAATACCAAGTATTGGCAACGATGTGGAACAAAGAGAATGCTCACACACTGCCAGTGAGAGTGTAAAGCGGAACCACTTTGGGAAACATTTTGGCAATTTATAAAGTTAAACAGACACATACCATATAATCCAGAAATTCCACTCCTAGATATTACCCAAGAGACATGTAAACATATATCCACAAAAGGACTTGACATGAATCGTCACAGCAGATTTATTTATAATATCCCCAAACTGGAAACAACTCAAATGCCCATCAATTGGTGAATAGATAAACAGAGCGGGGTACAGTCATACAATGGAACACTGCTCTCTAATAAAAATACAAGCTACTGACACACACAATAAACATGGATGAATCTCAAAAACATAATTCCGAAAGAAAAAAAGACTCAAAAGAATACTTACTTTATCATTTATATGAATTTCTCGAATGGGCAAAACTAATCTATAGTGAGAATGCAGATCAGCGGTTGCCTGGGCTGGGGAGTGGAGGGGCTGACCACAAGGAAGCACAGAGGAGCTTCAGGGATGATGGAAATGCTCTTCTCACTCGTCTGATTTTGAAGACACGGTTGGTATCATTTAAAGTCAGCCTTGCAGAATAGTTAGATCTAGAGTTGTAGAAATGGGAAGGAAAGGTATTCCACGCAGGGGCAGTAGCATGAGCAGAGCCACAGAAGTGGAAACTGGGAGGTGAGTATGGGGAACAGATGGTAGTTCACTTTATTTTTAAAAATTAACTTTACTGAAGCATAATTTCCATACAATAAAACACACTCATTTTAAGTCAATAATTTGATGAATTTTAAGAAATGTATAGATCTATGTGACCACCACCTCATAGAAAGCTTCCTTTTAAAAATTACTACGTCAAGATTTTTGGGCTTAATAAATCATAATTTTATTACAAGTTTTATAATTCAATATTAAAAACAAAACAACATGCAGGCAATAAAGAATATAAAAAGCGTAGGCCTTGAAATCAGCTCTAGTTTAAATCCTACTTCTTAAGCAAGTCAACTTCTCAAAGCCTCAGTTTCCTCATCCATAAAATGGGGATAATAATACAACCAACTTCATAAGATTGCGGTGAGGATTTAGAGAAATAATGGTAAGCTTTTAGCACAATGCCTGGAACATAGTAGGACCAACAAATCGCAATAGCCTCATCACAGTGAGACAGGCATTTGCTGCATAGTTACCCTCAGAGGTATGGTATGGACCGTGGAACCCATTGGCAAAGGCTTTGAAATGGTCCTAAATGAAATTGTTAAAAGACTAAATGAAACGGCAATTCTGCTTTCAGCTTCACTACTGGTTCTGTTTCAGCGGTGAAGGCTCAAACAAGTTGCTTTGATATGGAATGGGTGATTTAAAAATTGATTCTGAAACAAATTTAATGCAGGACACTTCAAACGTTTCCCCCCTCAGTCTGTCAGACCTACTCCCCGGCCTTGAAACGGAGCCCGACCTCCCACGTGTCCCACCACAGGGTGCTGAGGAGAGCACAGCCTCGAGGGTTCACCCAGACAGTGCCAGTCCAGTCCACTTGTGGGCTCAACCCCTGCTCCACTCTGTCTGCCTGGCTTTCCGAACGCTGACTCCGTGATCCAGCTCCCAGTATGAGATGCCCCAGGCCTGTCTCCTCATGTCAAGACCCACTTCTTCAGCTTACCTACCTGTCACTCTACTCGTTCAACTCTGCAGGCTGCCTTGATTGCTGCCAACACCTACTGTGTATGGTTAAGACACTCCCTTAACCAGTCTCAGCTTCCTGGGCACCCCCTTCTCCAGCTCCCAGCACACAGCTCCCAGGACGTAGTTGCAACCAGAACATAATTCAAGGGTCGTGGGGACGGAGTGCCATCTACCTGAGCAACAAAGAGCTGGAACTCGTCAGGCAGAATCCATGAGCGAGGGTAGAAGTTGTACTCCTCAGGAAAGAGATTCTGCATGATTCTCACTGCTCTGCTCAGAGTAATTTTACGCACCATCTCCGTCATGCCTGGGGAGAAGAGAAGCTGTGAGGTTTTAACAACAGTGGCCACGAGCTATAAGACAGCCATTATTTGGGACTTTTAAAACCACCCACCCGCCATATTCACCTTTTTAGACAGGATAAAAAAAGGTACGAATTGTTCCCCACAGCGGTGACTCATAGTTTTGGAAGATCTACCAAATTAATGACAAACTTGGGGGGATAGACGGATATTTTTTTTCTCCTTATAAAAATGAAGCATCAATTTGAAAGAATGAATTTCCACCGAGTTTATTATTCCATTCTTTGTCAGCCCCCTACATAATGAATAAAAAGAAACATTTATATCTTACACTTAAAACTTAATATCCTCTTTAATTTTGGGTGACTACACGTACTTCTGGGATTCCTTCCATCTTATATCCTAGAGAATATTATCTAGTGGACTCTGATTACACTATGAGAAGCTTAATTAAGTTGCTTTGTTTTAAACTCTCATGAGTATTAAAGGTATAAAATAGAAAAATATACACCTTTCAGCAGAAAATCTGTCTCCTTGAAATAAGGACAGGAAGTAGAAAGGATATCATAGCATAATTTATAGTTTAAAGGGAAAAAATGGAATCCGTAGGAGTTCTTCTGTTATAAATACTGACACTGACATTGATCAGATCTCATTAACTTGCCCAGAGGGACTGAAACGTCTCACTTATAAAACATCTTAAAAGGATGGTGGATTTTTTTCTTGTAATATCTTTAGTAACTCTGACAAGAGGAGAAAATGAATATATATCTCGGCAAATTTTAAGCAAATAGGTCACAATTTTAAAATTTTAGCAAGCTTCGTTCTTAAAGCAAATAGCATTGCTAAAGATGAAGACTAACAATGGCCTTCACCCTGAAAAAGCCTACATGGTTCCGTTACTGACATGAGAAATTTGCTTAACAAAGTCATTTTTAACAGAAAGTACACAGCTCCATGTCAGCCTGGCATGTGGAATTATCACACGGTCCAAATGGGCACAGTTAGAATGAATGAGGTCTCACAAAACTCCCACGTTCAGGAAGCAAAAGGTGAACATCTGAGAATGAACGTTTTAATAACCTATCTTGCTTCCCTCAGCATATTAAAAACACAATAAATCTAAAGATCGCAGCTTCGAGATGTCAACGCCTGGGTTCTTAGCTCTTGTTTAGAAGGATAAGGAGAAGGATTAATAAGAACTAAAGGAACTTAAAAAGCACTAACAGGCTGTGCTCTGATGTGGGCTCTTCGATATTAAAGAAAACTCACTGAGGACCGTGTTCCGAGCTTCGCAAGAAGTAAGTACGCATTCTGAAAATTACACCTATTGCCTTTGATTCCTCCATGAAATTAGAATTTTTGAGTTACAAACATTGGAGCTTAATACAAAGTATACACAAAAAATTTTCAACTTTTTGGGAACCTTTTTACTTGTATTTAACTAACATTTCAGTTATAGTATTAAACTAAAAACCTTCCTAACTAACTGGAATACAGCACCTAACATCAAATAGATGATGCCTCCAGACCAGAGGTGTGGTGGTATTGTCTGCACTGAATGGTTGTGACAGGGGAAGGGTCCCTTTCAGAAATCCTTGGCAGGTCAGACGGACCCACACAACACACACAGAAGTGCTGTGAGCACAGGAGTGCAGTCTGAATGTTCCAGAGAAGGTCGTGAACATCAATGTCCAGCAAATTGAGTAGATATTCATTATAAATCTGCAGTGGCTCTTTTTCTAATGTGGATCATCAGCACCCACACCAGCTAATAGATCTGTTTCCGAGTTTACCTCTGTGTCTGTCTCCAAGTTGAAAACAACCAGCTTAAGAAGCACCCCTACAAGCCAATGCTGTTTTTCCCAGACCCCTCTGGCTCGTAAGTTTTAGACATCTCACCCCTAGCTCTGCCTGAACGCCCGTCTCCAGAATGCACCAGTGTAGACCCCTCTAAATCTGTTTACCACAAAAACCTTTTTTCCTCCACCATATCTAAGCTGTGTTCCCACCCAGTGCTGTGTTCCCATCCCTGCCTCTAGCGGTGGCTCAGAGACAGACGCGAGGAGTGTCATCTTCTCTCAGTAGCTGGGTTTCTAGCTGAGGCAGAGCACATGCTGCAGAGCACATGAAAAGGGAGGTCATCGCCAGGACCTACTGGCTCCAGGCTCTGCCTCCCTTCTCTAAGCAGCTGCAGCGCCTGACCTCTACCTGTCATGCCCGCCGTAGGTTCTGGGACCCACTGTGACCTGAGGTGCAAGCTCTAGGTCTACTTATCAGCTCGTCCCTACTGAAACTTTGACCCTGACTTTGTACTCCAATTAGATGATGAGGATTTTAACTGTTTTTCTGAGGCTCCACTGCTTTGTCCTCAAATTTTGGTAACCTGTCATTTACTCTTGGTGCCTGAGTGGCAGCCTCAGCCCTGCCTTTGCCTTGTTCTCCCCAGTGTTCTTTCTCTGTTCCCTGCAAGACTATCCTGCAAGGGCTGCAGTCCTCCCATCTGTGACTAAACCAGTGACTGGGCTACTGCTACCTTCTATCATGTTCTTTTGAGGCTGACTGCCTACTTGGCTTTCTCAATAAGGTCTAGCCCTAGATATCGCTACTGTGGCAGTTCCCCTAAAGATCGGAAAAGAGCCCCAACTCCGACTGGAGCTTCTTACACCAAGAGCTTGCCTCCTGCCACTCCTTTGGGGCCTGGGTTCTTCCGTCTGCTACACTGGAGTCTCAAGGCCTGGTGGTCCCACTCCATTGGAATGACCCAAGAGTGCAATAGTTTAATCCTCTGACTTGCCCAATCCAATTAAAAAAACAAAAACGAAACAAAATCTAGTACTATTCAATCCAAATATCATAACAGTAATTCTTGGCGAAAACACCTTACAACCACCAAACAACAAATACATTCTTTCAGATCCATCCTCTTTCCTCTACTCCCATCACCAGTGATTAGTTTCTTTCTCGCCTGGATGCTGCAGCAGCCTCTTGGCTCTATATCTGTTTCCTTTCTCAGCCTTTCCACCCACCTCCAATGCATCCTTCTGGCTGATCTTTCTAAATTGCAAGCTGGCCCACGTCACTCTCTGGCTTAAAAATTTCTCAGTGGCTTCCCATGACCTTCAGACCAGAACAATGCTGTACTTTGGTCCCTGCCTATCACCTTTCCAATGTCCTTATCATACTTGACCCTTGCTAACCATCATGGGCCACTTGCCCTTCACTGAATGAGCAGCATGCTCTAAGCATTCTAAACCTTTGCCCCATCTCTGCTCCCTGTTTTGCATGGGAGTCAGGCTTATCTGTTCCTGGAGGCTCAGTTCACCTGTCAATCCTCTTCTCCAGGATCTCTCACCCTGCCTGCCCCCCAGGCAAATCTGAGTTAGGTCATGTGCCCTTGCTCCAAACTCCCACGGCCTCCCAAACTTCCTCTGGCATTGTACTTATTTTGTATTTTACTTCTCTTTACTTGCTTTCTCCTTGTCTTTGTATCCCCAGCCCAGCCCAGTGCTTGACACATGGCTGCCCTCCTAGATTCCTCACGGGAGCCCTCTCCCTCTCTATAGAAAGTCCCCTCCTCGTTGGTGGGCTCTCAGGCACCACCTGCCATGAGCTGCCCTTCATCTAAGACCCTAAAACTCAGCAAGAGACTTGCTTGTAAGCTGAGAATTGACGATTCTGGACTTTTTTTTAAAGCAGAGACATATCTAAATCAGATAATTTTTATAGAAAGTCTTAATTCATCAGTTAAAATATAATAACATATCTTGCAGGAAATTGCCCATAGAAAAGTGGCTAAAATCTAATGTGCTGACACAAACAAAATAAATTACTTCCATATGGGTATCCAAAAGTTTTCAGTTTATTCAGCATGTGAAGTGTTTAGACTTGCCTGGCACATCCACTAGGACTTTAAGTAACATACTAAATGCATTTTTAGAATAATGGGATATATGAGAGACAGAGGAAGAAGATAAGCTTGGACACAAACTGGAGTCAAAGGGCAGCCCGTGCTGTGATCACCCCCTTGCTAAGGGCTGTCCTTCACAGAGCAGAAGGTGTGGCAGCACTCTTCCTCTGCCTAGAGGTTCGAGAGACTGCTCTGTCATTAGAGTTAATTAATTGCTGTTAGTAAATTGGAAAATTATATGTTCTAATCACTGGCATGTGGAATATGGGATAGGCCAGACTTGCTTCTTTGGAGTGAATATTCTTATATTACCTCTAATGAAACTAGTCCCTCGGGGGTATTTTTTTCTGTATTTCTGATTTGTGTTCCAAATGCAGGGCCATGGGTACTCCTTCTTTCCCCCTCTCAGCCCTTAGATGAGGCCTGAACAGACTGGGAAAAGGTAAATGAAGCCTCCTTTGATGACTCCTGTCTCAGGAACTCTGTCCTCATTCAAAGAGTTGTTCTCATCCAAATTTTGTTCTCCCAACATTCCAGTAAGTCCTTTTAGTGGCATCAGAATGTCGCTTTTTCTGAGCAGCAAGACAGAAAATAAGAGCTATCCCATTAAACTGTGTGCAAGAATCCTGACTACAAGAATTGTTCTTGTCCTCTGACAAAACCCTCTCTCCTCCTCTAAGGACAAATTTGACCTTGGGCTAATTTTCTAGCTTGCTCCCTTGGAAATCAATAAAGGTGGAAATTTAGCGGTGTTACTAGACAACAAAGCATACAGTTAAAATGATCCCTGATTGGCAAATTGCATAAATACCTGGTAGGAAATCACAGCTCTAGGCTTTTTTGAGTGTAGTGATTCTTGTAACTTAGCATGACCCTGGCGGGGACCCTGGAAGCTATGCTGTGGAGGAGTTACACGAGATGTTGGCTCCTAGGTGGTGTCTAAGCTAAGACAGACCCACACCCGCCAGTGTGGATCTTGTCTCCTTGCACCTGAGCTGTCACTTGAGGTGACTGGCTGGCAAGCTGTGTTTCCTGCCCTACACCCTTCCAAGCAAATCTGAGCCAAGTGGGGCCTATGGTAGTCAACACTCAGTTGAAAACCCCTAGCGGACGTGGCACAACTAGCCAGTGTATAATGTGCAGATAATTGGGTTTTCTGATAGGTGTGTCTTAAAGACATGGAATGGAATTCCAAAGAAAAAGAGTCAATTGATTCTCCTTTTTAAAATAAGCATAAATGATATAATGCTGAGAGAAAATACCTTACATTCAGGCGACTACGCTCTGACTGCCACTATGTAAAAATAACACATATACATGGTTAAGGTTTGGGAGGAAATACAGAAATATTCACATTGTGGTTTTGTTAAATGAGGGATGGAATTCAAGATGATGTTCTTTTTAGAAATGATTTATTATTGCATTAGAATATCGTTTGTGCAATATGTTAACATTTCTGAAAATAAGTGGAGGACTGTTTGGCCGTGATCACACCCAGCTTAAGCAAATGCTCCCTCCCCCCGGCACTCCCACTAACCTTGACCACCCTCTTCTATTAGCCATTAAAAATAATGCATAGCAATCACGGCAGAAGAGGGTGGGAGAGATTAAACATGAAATAAGAAGGTGCATGGGGGGCTGGGAGCGGAGGGAGGGGTATCTTAAAATTGGCCGGGAGACTTTTCTGGCACTAAGAGTCACCTTGCAGGGTAAGTCTCGCTGGGATGATGTCCTGAGATAAAACTAAACGCTGACTGCAGCCTATTGTTCCCAGTATGGAGACTGGTGGATTTGGTCTTAAAAATGGTACCTCCAAATATGATACTTAAAGAAAATGGAAGCTGCTAACCCCATTTCTGTGATAGATCCCTAGAATTTTAGTACTCCTGTTTCCTGCAAAGTATTTGAGTGAAATGTTCTTTTTTTTATTTTGAGAATATAATCCCCTCTCATAACACCCCCATGTTATATCAAGAACCCAGAAGGTGAAAATCATGTTCTTCCACCAGTAGAATTAGACCAGAAGAGCCTGTCTGTTTGTGTTTTTGAACCTCCAATCTTTTTTTTTTTTTTTGAGGAAGATTAGCCCTGAGCTAACATCTGCTGCCAATCCTCCTCTTTCTGCTGAGGAAGACTGGCCCTGAGCTAACATCCATGCCCATCTTCCTCTACTTTATATGTGGGACGTCTGCCACGGCATGGCTTGACAAAAGATGCGTAGGTCTACCCCCGGGATACGAACTGGTGAACCCAAGGCTGCACAAAGTGGAACGTGTGAACTTAACTGCTGTGCTACCAGGCCAGCCCCTGAACCTCCAATCTTAAACCCTTGGTGGGTTAAGTCCTGATTGCCTCCGTGTTAACTTCCCTCCAGAGGGAATGGTACCGCTGCACAGCGCAGGCAGCAATTCCCAATTAAGGGTCCTCGAGTTTCATCTCAAAACACTGTCATGTTTTTGCAGAAGAGTGTACCCTCAGACTCAGCCCTAGAAACGTTTTTAAATGCCAACAATAACAGCAGATACCTGGAAACTTGTTCACTTGACCGGAGAATATGTCATTGTCATGAAATGAAACTCCATGCCAGTAGATGTCACAAGGCAAGCGTCGGCCAAATGGGATCTAGAAGAAAGGGAAAAAATGTGATTCGTAACAAGCACAAGAGGAGCAGCACCGCAATGAATGTCTACCATGTACGAATTCCTGGCGCCGGGCACTCATCACATGATTTAATCCTCACAATAAGCATGTGAGGTAGATGACGCTCTTTCCCATTTTATAAGTGAGGAAACAGATTCAGACAAGCTAAGTAACTCGCTCAGGGTCACAACCACTAGTGACTAACAGCCACTAGAGTTCTGATTCTGTGGCAGGCACTATATAGTGACTTTACAGACACCTTTCATTTTAATCCTCTTAACTACCCTAGAAAAGATTACTTTCATCTCACTGATGAGAAAATTGAGGCTGAGGAGGTAATCGAATAAGCCCAAGGTCACACAGAGCTGATAATGAAAAGAGTCAGGATTTGAATCCAGGTCTATCTAAATTCCAAGCCCATAGTTCTTTTTCCCTGAAAATTGCAACTCTCAACCCAGTCCCAAAAGAAGGAGCTTTCATAGTCTGTCTGTCTCTCTTTCTCTCATGTACACATACACACACGCGCGCACACACACACACACACAAGGTCCACAAGGGCAGGATGGATCCCCAGTGCCTAAAACAGTTCCCAGCATTCAACAAAGACTTTTTGAATGAATAAAAGAACAGACCAGGAGTGGTCATCTGACTCAAGATGAGATAACCAGATTCTCTCTTCCAGGAATTTGGAAATCAGAGATGCCAGGCAGCCTCTGCTGGCCCTTGAGCTGGAAGTGATAAAAAGCCAGAGCTGGGCAGCTGCGCGTGGCTGTGTGAACGGAGAAGCAAAGGCAGCCAGTCTGCTGAGAGAGAAGAAAGGAGCAGGTGCAGCGAGAAAAGAAGAGATGAAGCCGTGTGGCCCTGGAGATGCAGACTGAGAGACCTCAGCTCCTAGGGCTTCCAGGACTGAGGCCCAGACCCTCCTGAGCCTGATTGTCCCTCCTGTCCTTGGATCCTGTGAGACAGCCTCGTCTCCTTAGAACGCATCCCCTCTGCACAAGCTATAGTGTTTCAATTATTTCCAGCCAGAAAATCTCTCACTGAGACAAAAGGGCCTGCTCTTTCCACGACATCCTGCTGCCTCTCAAAGTTATCAGCAAGTTCTGCATTTACAGACTGGACCTTTAAAGCCTGTAACTCAGATGACCTTCATTAAAAGAAAAAAGTAAAGACATGTTAGTTTATAATTAGAATCTGCTTGTTAAAAGTCCAAATGAAGAGAAATGCCAACATATTAAATAAAATCATTTGATTTTCCCATGCTAGGACTATAGTTAATCAGAATTTTTTTATCTACTCCAAGTTGAGAGGGCCAAGTTCCAATGGAAGAACACAGCATTACTAATGAAATGGTGGTGACTCAATGCTTTCCAGCTAATCCCAATTAAAACGAAGGCAAACAGACTCAGGCCCTTTAAATCATTCACATTACTTCAAAGCTGTGCCAAAGGGAGGCATATGTTACACATTCTACAAGCATTAACAACCTCCATCTCTAATTTATAGCATTTCACTCATTTTCTTTGTATCCAAAGAACTGAAGTTATTAATTCAGTAGTCATAAATACAGAGAGATACAACATATGTTATTTTCTTCCAGCTGTTAAGTGCTAATATAGAGAAGGGAAAAATAACTTAACCAAGGAGATTTCTCTAAAAAGCAGATTATCCAAGCCAAGTTTACTAAGATCCAAGTGGCTTTGCTGCCCACAATGTAGGACCAACACCTGCTCCATGTCAGTGGACAACTGATAACTCCTTATTATCCTTAGGGTTGCCCTTCAAACCTTGCCACCCCCATGAATCCCACATCAACCCTTCATTCAGAAGAGCCTTTAGCTCGTACAGTTTTGAGAAACTGCCTTTGTTTTTAAAAAAATCAATTCATTCGATAATCACTATGTGCCAGGCACCGTGCAAGGTGCCGAGAACTCAGAGAAACACAATTTTAAATAGGCCCCAAGACTTCATAATCTTACCTCTTTTTAAAATCTTTTAAAAAACTGCTTAAACAGCTAACACCATACTCAGTGGTGAAAGACTGAAAAGCTTTTCCTCTAAGATCAGGAATGAGACAAGGATGCCCACTTTTGTCACTTCTGGTCAACGTGGTACTGAAGTTCTGGCCAGCGCAACAGGCAAGAAAAAAAACAGGAGGCATTCAAATTGGAAAGGAAGAAGTAAAATGATCTCTCTTTGTAAATGACACGATCTTATATGTAGAAAACCCTAAAGATCACACACACACGCACACATACACAAATCTGTTAGAAATAATAAACGAATTTAGCAGTTTCAGGATACAAAATCAATAGGCAAATATCAATTGTTTTTCTACATATCAATGATGAAAAATCCAAAAAGGAAATTAAGAAAGCGATTCCATTTACAATAGCATCAAAAAGATTAAATACTTAGGCATTAACGAAGGAGGCAAAAGACTTACACGCTGAAAATTACACAATGTTGCTAAAAGAAATTAAAGAAGACACTCATAAGTAGGAAGACATCCCATGTTCATAGATTAGAAGACTTCATATTGTTAAGGTGTCGGTACTACCCAGAGCAGTCTACAGATTCAATGCAATCCCTACCAAAATCCCAATGACATTTTTTTTGCAGAAATAGAAAAACTCAACCTAGAATTCATATGGAATCTCAAGGAATCCCAAATAGGGAAAACAATCTTGAAAAGGAAGAACAGTGTTGGAGGTATCACACATTCTGATGCCAAAACTTACAACAAAGAAACAGTAATCAAAACAGTGTGTAAAACAATAATGAGATACCACTATACACCTATTAGAATGGCCAAAATCCAAAACACTAACAACACCAAATGCTGGCCAGGATGTGGAGCAACAGGAACTCTCCTTCATTGCTGGTGGGAATGCAAAATGCTACAGCCACTTTGGAAGATGATTTAATGGTTTCTCACAAAACTAAACATACTCTTACCATATGATCCAGCAATTGCGCTCCTTGGTATTTATTCAAATGAGTTGAAAACTTATGTCCACAAAAAAGCTGCACAATTTTTAGAGTTTATAGCAGCTTTAAAGTTTATAGCAGCTTTATTCATAATTGCCAAAGCTTGGAAGCAACCAAGGTGTCCTTCAGTAGGTGAATGGATAAACAAACTGTGGCATATCCAGACAATGGAATATTATTCAGTGCTAAAAAGAAATGAGCTAACAAGCCATGAAAAGACATGGATGGATCTTAAATGCTTATACCTAAGCAAAAGAAGCCCATCTGAAAAGTCTACATATTGTATGATTCCAAAGATATAATATTCTGGAAAACATAAAACTACAGAGACAGTAAAAAGATCAGTAGTTGCCATGGGTTCAGGAGGAGGCAGGGATGACTAGGTGGAGCCCAGAGGATTTTTAGGGCAGTGAAAATACTGTGTATGATACTATAATGGTGGATACACATCATTATACATTTGTCCAAATCCACAGAAGGTACAACACCAAGAGTGAACCCTAAAATAAACTATAGACTTGCAGTGATTACGATGTGTCAGTGTAAGCTCATCCATTGCAACAAATGTACCATTCTGGTGTGGGATTTTTGACAGTAGGGGAGGCTGTGCATATGCAGGGGCAGTGAATATATGGGGACTCTCTGTTCCTTCTGCTCAATTGTGCTGTGAACCCAGAACAGCTCTAAATAAAAAATAGTAAAAATAAATTAATAAAAACCACTATGGTACTGGTAAAAACAGACATATAGACCAGTGGAATAGGATAAAGAACCCAGAAATAAACCCTCACAAATATGCTCAAATGATTTTCAACAAGGATGACAAGACTATTCAACGGGGAAAGGACGGTCTTTTCAACAATTGGTATTGGGAAAACCGGTATCCACAAGCAAAAAGATGAAGTTGGATCCTTACCTTACACAATATACAAAAATTAACTCAAATGGGCCAAAGATCTAATCATAAGAGCTAAAACTATAAAAACTCTTAGAAGAAAATATAGGGGATAAGCTTCATGACATTTGACTTGGCAATGATTTTTTGGATATGACATCAAAAGCACAGGCAACAAAAGAAAAGATAAATAAATTGAACTTCACCAAAATTAAAAACGTTTTGCATCAAAGGACATGTCAACAGAATGCAAGGGCAACCCATGGGATGGGAGAAAATATTTGAAAATCGTATATCTGGTAAGAGATTAATATTCAGAGTGTATTCAGAAACGACTGCAACTCAACAACAACAACAAAACCAATTAAAAAATGGGCAAAGGACTTGGGCCAGCCCCAGTGGCCTAGTGGTTAAGTTCAGCACTCTCCACTTCAGTGGCATGTGTTAAGTTCTCCACGGACCTACACTGCGCTGTTAGTGGCCATGCTGTGCTGGTGGCCCACATACTAAAACATAGAGGAAGGTTGGCATGGATGTTAGCTCAGGGCAAATCTTCCTCAGGAAATAAAAAAGGGGGGGCAAAGGACTTGAATAGATATTTCCCTGAAGAAAATATACAGATAGCTAATAAACACATGAAAAGATGCTCAATATCACTGATCATTAGCAAAATGCAAATCAAAACCACAATGAGATACCACGTCACACCCATTAGGATGGCTATTATAAAAAATAATTTAAAAAAGGAAATAAGTGTTGACAAGGATGTAGAGAAATTGGAACCCTTGTGCCCTGGGAATGTAAAAAGTTGCTGTGGAAAACAAAATTACCCCATGATCCAGCAATTCTACTTCTGGGTATACATCCAAAAGAATTAAAATCAAGGACTCAAACAGATATTGGTACACAAACATTCACGGCACCACTATCCACAACAGCCAAAAGGTGGAAACAGCCCAAGTGTCCATCAACTGTCCATCAATGGATAAAGAAAATGTGGCACGTACGTACACTGCAACAGCACTCAGCCTGAAGGAGGAATGAAATTTTGACACCTGCTACAACATGGATGAACCCTGAAGATTATGCTAAGTGA